GGGTGCGACCACATTCGGCGTGTGGTCAGCCTCCCGAGTAGCTGGGATAGAGAGGACGCACCGGCGGTCCGGTAGATCACTCGAGTGCCGTGTGCGTTTATGTGTGTTTTCTATAGTAGAGACGGGGACTTCACCGTGTCAGCAGGGCTTGCTCTCGCCTGACTCTTGACCTGTGTGATCCCACCATGCCGTGGCCTCCAACCGAGTGCTGGGATGAAACAGGTTGAGCCAACGCGACGGGCTATGTTTTTTCGATTTTTAATACAGAACGGGGGTTTCATTTTATTCATATTGTACAGGCTGGTTCTCCCGAACTGCGCCTGACTTGTGATGCAGGCCTGCCGTCCGCGCGGGCCTCCAAAGTGCTGGTCATTATCAGGTGTGACCGCAGAGCACTCTGGGAGCCGGAGGCGGAGGAGTTGCTTGGGGATCAGGAGTTGAGACAAGCAGCTGTCGGCACGAAGCAGACGGCGCTGGTGGCCAGCCTCTGTACGGAAAAGTGTACAAAAGTTAGCACCATGGTATGTGACCTGTCGGTGGCACGAATACCTGTGTCCAGCTAGCTTGGAGGGGTGAGTGGGAGGATTGCTTGAGCCCTGGGAGGTTGATGGTACAGTGAACACTATGATGACAGCCACTGCCAGTCCGCCTGGGCCGACAGACAGAGGCAAGACCCTGTGTTCAACAATAACAATAAGATAAAGACCAGGGGAGCGGTGGCTGCAACGCCTGTCATCGCGAGCACTTTGGAGCTGGGAGTGGCGAGCGGAGATCGACGAAGGTCCAGGGTCGGAGTGACGCATCCTGGCACTAACACGGCTAAACGCCCGTTCCCTATACTGTTCTAAAAATATAAAAAACCTGTCGGCGGATCTTCTGCAGGTGTGGTGGCGGCGTCGCTGTGCAAAGTCAGAAGTTGGATCGAGCTGAGATCGCGCCACTGCGCTCCAGCCTGGGCGACAGAGCGAGACTCTGTCTCCAAAATAAAAAAGAAAAAAGAAAAAGAAAAGAATCTTCACACAAAACTCATTAGCTACTTTGAGAGAAAACTGACTTTACGCCAAACTTACATGCATTTGTGGCTGCTTTGGAGTCAACTGACAGAAACAGAGATTATTTCTGTTTGTTTTGTTCTGTTTTTGAGACAGAGTCCCGCTCTGTCGCCCAGGCTGGACTGCAATGGCACGATCTCGGCTCACTGCAATCTCAGTCTCCCGGGTTCAAGCGATTCTCCTGCCTCAGCCTCCCGAGTAGCTGGGATGACAGGCACCTGCCACCACGCCTGGCTGACATTTCTATTTTTAGTAGAGACGGGGTTTCACCATGTTCGCCAGGCTGGTCTCGATCTCTAGACCTCGTGATCCGCCCGCCTCGGCCTCCCAAAGTGCTGGGATGACAGACGTGAGCCACCGCACCCGGCCAGGATTTCTTTCTTTCTTTTTTCTTTTTGTAAGTCATCATGCGGAACGCAAGCAGCAGATATAAACTTGATCCCTCTTTGACGTCTCAATGGGATATGCCTAGCTGGGAGCTTTGGGCCAGCCCAGGACCAGGGAGATCCTACCTGCCAGGCGCTTCCTCTGGGGCATCTCCAGGTCTGGAGCTTTAGTGTTCGATCAACTACCCAGGGCTACAGTGCGAAGGCCGACTGATATCCAGAGCACGTCATGCAGGGGGTGAGTTTGCACTTCTGAGCAGCTGCAGGTGTGTGAACCTCACAACGTGGGGCCCTGTGGGCTGCAGAGGCTGTGGCCACACAGGAGACCCGAGCTCAGGTGGGTGAAGGGAGGAGCTGCTCTCCCTCTACAACCGTCATGGCTCCCACCTTCCTCACCCCCCAAGGAAGCTCCAGGATCTTCCTCTCTACTCTTCCCTCCCCGTTCTCGCTTTTTATTTTATTTTTACTTATTTTTTTGAGACGCAGTCTCGCTCTGTCGCCCAGGCTGGACTGCGGTGGCACGATGCCGGCTCACCGCAACCTCCGCCTCCCGGGTTCAAGCGATTCTCCTGCCTCAGCCTCCCAACTAGCTAGGATGACGGGCACCTGCCATTGTGCCCAAGTAATTTTTGTAGATACGGGGTTTCACCCTATTGGTCAGGCTGGCCTCGAACTCCTGACCTCAGGCGTTCCCCCCGCACCTCCCAAAGTGCTGGGATGACAGGTGTGAGCCACCACGTCTGGTTGCTTTTTAAAATTTAATGTTTTTAGGGACGGAGTCTTTCACGCCTGCCTAGGCTGGAAAGCGGTAGTGAGATCTCGGCTCACTGAAGCCTCAACCTCCCAGACTCAATTAATTCTCTCACCTCAGCTTCCCGAGTAGCTGGGACCACAGGTGCACACCACGATGTCCAGCTAACTTTTACATTTTCTCTAGAGATGGGATCACGCCATGTTGCCCAGGCTGGTCTTGACCTCCTGGGTTCGAACAATCCTCCTACCTCGGCCTCCCAAAGCGCTGGGATGACAGGCGTGAGCCATTACACCCGGCCTGCCCTCACCGTTGTCTCCCCAGGACGATTCCGCTGGCCACCCAGCAGCCCTGCAAGACGGACAGACCCGAACGGGCAGGGCGTCCATCCTGCTGTAGGGCAGCTTGGATAATTGGAGCTGGCCACATCCCAGCAAGCTCTGCACACCTCACGCCCTGCCAGCCTGGGGGCCCGACAGCACCTCTCTGTTCTCCCGGAGCAGAGCCTGCGCCGAGGCCCCAGCACAGACTGAAGGCACATTCTGTTTCTGCCCTGAGTTTATTTCTGTCCCGTTGGCCCTGGGCCTCGCCACTGCGCCCCAGGACCCTGGCAGATAAAGCCCTCTTGTGCTAGCGTTGAAAGGAACCCTTTCGCCTCACAACCGCAGTGATGCCTCACACAGGGACTCAATGAACACCACGTTTGTTCTTTGAAAAGACGCCTGTGTAGGAGACACACTCTAAACAGAGATCTGTATTAATATATCCACTGCCCCGTAGAAATCACGGCGTCGCACGCACACACACACACACACACACACACACGTGTGCTTCCCGGTTCGTCAAAATAAGTTCACAGAATTCCTGCGTGATGCGGCTCTTCTGACCAAGAGCGCTCGGATTTTTATGTCCAGTCATGGAACACGACCTGAAATTGAAATCAGGACGGACGCAACACAAAACCGTCGTTGATGAGTGACTGACGCCGGGCGCGGTGGCTCACGCCTGGAATCCCAGGAGGCCAAGACAGAGGCAAAGGCAGGAGGAGGGCTTGAGGCCAGGAGTGTGAGACCAGCTTGGGCAACAGAGTCAGACCTTCTCCCTATCAACAACAAAATTAAAAATTAGCCAGGCAAGGTGGCGAGTGCCTGTTGTCCCAGCTGCTTGGAACGCTGAGGTTGGAGGATTGCTTGAGCCGGGAGATCAAGGCTGCACTGAGCTAAGATCGCAGCTTGGGTGACAGACCAAAACCCTGTCTCAAACGAACGAAAAGAGTTACTTAGGCCGCACGTGGTAGCTCACGCCTGTAATCCCAGCACTTTGGGAGGCCGAGGCGTGTGGATCATTTGAGGTCAGGAGTGCGAGGCCAGCCTGGCCGACATGGTGAAACCCCGTCTCTATCAAAAACACAAAAATTAGCCAAGCGTGGTGACGGGCACCTGTCATCCCAGCTGCTCGGGAGGCTGAGGCAGGAGGATCCCTTGAACCCAGGAGGCAGAGGTTGCAGTGAGCCGAGATCTCACCATTGCACTCCAGCCCGGGCAACAGAGCGAGGCTCCAACTCAAATAAATAAACACATACATAAAACTTCAAAAAAGAGTTCCTTATTGAGTCTAGCTCGATTGATGCAGCTCAGAAATAGGAGACCCTAGCTCATAAAAGACCTTGAATTTACTCTAAAAGGGTGCAAAACCAGCTGAAACCCTATTTTGATAAAAACATGAATAAAAGGAGGGGGGCAAGACGTAAAGGAAAGACGTGCATGTGTGCCAGAGAGAGGATAATGCAATGTCTTGATGGACACTGTTGAAAGCACAAACACACACAACCCCTGGGTCAAGTTATTTAAAGAACTAATGTCAGGTTCCCGGACGTAGACGATTTTTGCAATTTTCAAAGCATTGGACGCTTATCCTAGCACTCCAGCGTTTACAGGGGTCCAACGCCTCCAACCTGTCTTTACTGTCTGATAAGCAAAGCTAACAGAAACGGGGCCCTTTGGGTCCCACGGAGCCCGTTATATTGAAAAGTTGCGTTTATTTTTCCCCCGCGCGCTCCCGCCGGCCGCACGCTCGCTCCCGACCTCGGCGGGCGCGCACCCCGCATGCTCGCTCGTTCCCGGTGCCTCCCACTGCGCAGGCGCACTCCCGTCCCCCAGCCCCGCCCGCTCACACACCTTCCAGCCTCTGCCTCGCGCCCCGGGGGCAGGCACTGCGCATGCTCACTCGACCGGCCACCCGAACGAAGCTCCTGCACCGCTACGCACGGCGCATGCTCCATGCGGAGGCTGCCCCTCCCCTCGCTCTGGCAGGCACGCACTGCGCATGCTCGCATCTCCGCCGCTCTAAGGCCGCCTCGCCGCCATGGGCCGCACCTCTGAAATCCCAAAACGCAGAAAGAGCTCGGGCGGGACGGCCGCCACAGCCCCTCCTCCGTCCTGACCGCAGCCGCTTGGCCCCACCAAAGCCTCCTGCAAACGCTCCGAGGGCCGCGGTGCGCGCGGGGCCGGCGGCGTCGTCGCCCGCTGATGACGTCGTCGCCATGACGCGGCGCAGTGACGTGCACGCGGGCGCCGTTGTTTGGGACGCGCCCGTTTTGAAGCTGCCGTGAGCAGCGCGGGCCGGACCGCGCCCCCTCCTCGGTCTCCCCGCGCCCCGCGAGTCTGCGCAGTTCCCGAGGCGCGGGCCTTGTTCCCTGCGCGGCGCCCCCCTCAGCGGGCGGGGCTCGCATCGCCCGGGGCCGTCCGGGCCGGACCGAAGCCCCCGGGGCGGGGTGCGGGCGTTCCGGGGCGCCCCGGGCCCAGCCCCCGCCATGCCGCCCGGCAAGGTCCTGCAGCCGGTGCTGAAGATGAAGGTGGACGAGCTGTTCCTGTACTGGCTCAGCGAGGCCAGCACGCAGCGGATGCTGCAGGACTGCCTGCGCCGGATCAAGGCGCCCGGGCGGGACCTGCGGACCGCGGGGGACGGGGAGCCGCCCGGGGCCTGGCCCGCAGCCCCGCTCGCCGCCCCCAGACCCGGCGGGCTGGACCTCGCGGCCACCCCCGGCCCGGGCCCCGCGCTGCCCCTGGGCGCCGCCTCCAGCCCCAGGAACGCGCCCCACGCTCGAGGCACCCGTAGATCCGCAGGGACGAGAGTAGTAAGTCACTCTTCCTTCTGCTAACACCTGCGCAGGTGGCTCTGGAAGCATAGCGGACGCGTGGCTGCGCGGTGGAGGCAGGTGGGACAGCGTCAGACCCCAAAACGGTTTCATATTGAGTCTGTTCCCCGCCCCGAGCCCCCCCCACACACACACACCCGCCCCCCCCACACACACACACCCGCCCCCCCCCACACACACACAGAGACCAGAAAGTTGCACCTGCTGAACATTCCGTCATTGACAGTTGTTAACCTAAATATCACACAATTTATAAAGGTAGAAAGGCTTTCTTCCTCTTTATTCTATTTTGTTCTATTCCATTCTCTTTATTTTATTTTAATTTAATTTTATCGTGAGACGGAGTCTTGCTCTGTCGCCCTGGCTAATGGCCCGATCTCGGCTCACTGCAACCTCTGCCTCCCGGGTTCAAGCGATTCTCCTGCCTCAGCCTCCCGAGGAGCTGGGATGACAGGCGCCCGCCACCTCGTCTGGTTAATTTTTTGTATTTTTAGTAGAGACGGGGTTTCACCATATTGGCCAGGCTGGTCTCGAACTCCTGCCCTCAGGTGATCCGCCCGCCTTGGCCTCCCAAAGTGCTGGGATGACAGGCGTGAGCCACCACGCCCGGCCGGATGAGCTGCTTTTTCTACTACCTCTAGAACTCACCATTGTGCATTCCGCCCTCTGTAGAACTCAGCATCGTGCGTTCCATCCCCTCTAGAATTCTCTTTTGTGCGTTGTGCATTGCATCCTCCTCTAGAACTCAGCATTGTACGTTCTGCCCCCTCTAGAACTCAGTATTGTGCGTTCTGTCCTCCTCTAGGTCTCACCATTGTGCGTTCCACCCTGTGTAGAACTAAGCATCGTGCGTTCCATCCCTTCTGGAACTCAGCATCATATGTTCCATCCTCCTCTAGAACTCAGCATTGTGTATTCCGTCCCCTCTAGAACTGAGCATTGTGCGTTCCGCCCTCTGTAGAACTCATCATTGTACGTTCTGTCCCCTCTAGGACTCAGCATTGTGCGTTCCGTCCCCTCTAGGACTCAGCATTGTGCGTTCCGTCCCCTCCTCCTCTAGAAGTCAGCGTTGTGCGTTCCGTCCCCCTCTAGAACTCAGCGTCGTGTGTCTGACACTGGACCTTGTGGTTGCATCCGTCTTGGTTCCTTTCGTACCTGTGTAGGGTTCTGTGGTGAGGATGGTCCGCGGTGTATCCATTGAGCATGGATGGCCATGTGAGTTGTTTCCTCTCTTTGTGTATTAGGAGTCAGGCTGTTGTGAATATGCACGTGCAGGTTTGTGTGGATGGATGATCTCATTCCTCTTGGGTAAATGCCTCCGTGTGGAATTGCTGGCTTGTATGGTAAGCGTAAGTTTAAAGAAACTTAGCAACAAAAAAGCTTGAAGGAGGCCCGTTCTCTTCCAAAGTGGTTTTCCCATCTCACGTTTCCACCCGCCACGTGGGACGGTGCTCCGCCAGCTCTTCCACACTCACCAACCCTCGATGCTGCTGGCCTTTGTAATTTCAGCCACTCCGATGAATGTGTGACCGTTTCTCTTGTTTGTTTCTTTGACTCGGAGTCTCGCTCTGTTGTCGGGCTGGTGTGCAGTGGCGTGATCGTAGCTCACTGCAGCCTTCACCTCAGCCTTCTGAAAACCGGGACCACAGGTATGTGCCACCGCGTCCGGCCACTTTTATAATTTTTGTAGAGATGGGGTCTTGCTGTGTTGCCCAGGCGGGTCTCAAACTCCTGGGCTCAAGGGATCCTCCCACCTCGGCCTCCCAAAGTGCTGGGATGACAGGCGAGGGCAAGCACACCCGGCCAGCAGGGCACGGTTTCGATCGCATTTCCCTGTGGCCTGGTGACGCCGAGGGATTTTCAGGTGCTTATTTTCCATTCATGTGGTTTCCGCTGTGAAGCACCTGTTCAGATCGTTTGCGTGCTTTTTAAATCGGGTTACGTTTTCACTGAGTTGCGAGAGCTCTTTGCATAAAACTGTGGGCGAGTCCTTGGTAAGATAACGTGGTTTGTGCGTATTTCTCTCGAGTCCGGCTTGCTTTTTATTTTCTTCAGTGTCTTTCAAAGAGCAGAAGTGTGTAGTTTTTCAGCTTTTTTATGACTCTTATTTTTTGTGTCTTATTACAAACTGTTTGTATAGCCCAAGGTGTCAAACATTTTCTATTTGTCTTCAGAAAGCTTCGTGGTGTTAGGTTTGCGTTTCAGCCTGTGATCCAGTTCAGGTCAGTTTTTCTGCGGGGTATGAGGTGAGGTATGGGGGGGACCCCAGCACCATATGTTGAAAACTCTTTTTCCCCCATGGAATTGTGTTGTTGGAAGTCAGTTGAGTACGTACATCTGGGTTCATTGCTATGTTCTTCCCGTTGCTGTATGTGCACATCCTCACCTTCATGGCCCTGTCCAGGTTAGTGTAACTTTCCAGCAAATTTTGAAAGCCGGTAGTGTGAGTCCAAGCCTGTTCTTTAAAAGTCGCTTTCCAGCAAGAAAAGCCTGTTGCAATTTTGATTGGGATTGCTTTGAATCTGTGGATCAGTTTGGGTTCATTGACACCTTAATAATATTTTCCAATCCACCAGCAAAGGACTTTCCGTTTATTCAGGTTGTGTTCAGCTACGTTGTATAGTTTCCCAGGTACACATCTTGCACTTCCTTGATTAAATTTCTATCCGTTTATTTAGTTCTTTTCTAATTTCTGGAAGCTACTCAGTAGTTTTGGTATCCACCTAACCCGTGATTTTTATCAGACCGGCTGCCTGCATTCTAGAACGTTAGAACGGGGTATTTGGAGATAAACATGTGTGCGTGTGCATCACACACACAGATGCATACACACATACACAGGTGCATCACACATACAGGTGCATACACACAAACACACACACACAGGTGCATACACACACACAGGTGCATACACACAAACACACATACACAGGTGCATACACACACATACACAGGTGCACACACACAGGTGCATACACACACAGGTGCACATACATAGGTGCATACACACACACAGGTGCATGCACACACACACGGGTGCATACACACATACACAGGTGCATACAAACACACACACACAGGTGCATACACACAGCTGTATATACACACATACACAGGTGCATACAAACACACATACACAGGTGCATACACACAAACACACATACACAGGTGCGTACACACACACACAGGTGCATACACACATACACAGGTGCATCACACGGGTGCATACACACAAACACACATACACAGGTGCATACACACACACAGGTGCATACACACAAACACACGCACAGGTGCATACACACAGGTGCATACACACACACAGGTGCATACACACAAACACACGCACAGGTGCATACACACAGGCGCATACACACACACAGGTGCATACACACACATACACAGGTGCATACACATACACAGGTGCATACACACAAACACACACACACAGGTGCATACACACAAACACACACACACAGGTGCATACACACACACAGGTGCATACACACAAACACATACACAGGTGCATACACACACAGGTGCGTACACACACATACACAGGTGCATACACACACACATACACAGGTGCATCCACACACACATACACAGGTGCATCACACATACAGGTGCATACACACACACACACGGGTGCATACACACATACACAGGTGCACACACACACAGGTGCATACACAGGTGCATACACACAGAGGTGCATACACACACAGGTGTTGCTTATTTTAATGTTTCATTAGAAGTTCTTAACAAACATGTCATAAGACAGGAAAGCACCCAGAACCCTCAGAACCGGAGCTCAGGGTTTCTGAAGGTTTCGTACGGGAGCCGTGAGCTTGCCCAGGGACCGTAGCTTTTGTATCAGGTGTGTGCCTGTGTGCGTTCAGTTCTCACTGCCTTCATAACAATGACCTATTCACGGTTTCATAGTCGGCACCAATGAGAGTCTCATGGTGAGGAGGAAGGAAGGTGTTCAGAACTCTTCTTGTAACCTTCGAGAATCTGCAACCATGGAAACTGTGTAAAGAGCCTCGTCCCTCCCTCCTCTTGTGTTGACAGAGAGAACCGTGCCGTTTCCTGAGATGAGGTGGACATGTTTTGAATCCGCCGGAGCCTGTCCTCTCAGGGCCTTTGAAACAGGGAGGAGGCCGCACTCTGCAGACGGCACCTGCGGGGTGAGGACAGAATTCTGAGCCATCTTCATGTCCCACGGGTTTGCCTGTTTCTAGCTATGCTGTTAGCTTTGGATGTTCAGAAAAACATTTTCTCACAAAGGGGAGGTTGCCTTCGTAAGCCTTTTACATCTAGGATTTCACAAAAGCCCTTGTGTTTGCCCATGGAAGACACATTTTTATTCTAAAACAAGCCATCGGAACAAATGTGTGTTTAGTGAGAATGAAAAGTGAAGAGATTTGTATGGAAATTTTGCATAAAGGTCTTCTGGGCATTTTAGGAGCATTAGAGGTTGGTGGTACGATTGTGTCCCCACGGGAGAAGGACAGTGGAGATTCGGGTGCCGTGAGGGCCTTCATTGGCCCAGATGGCAGTGATGTCTCGTCAGCGTAGGATTGTGGGGGACACAGGCTGAAAACAGGCCTCACCGATTCCAGGCTGGCTTGTGGTGCAAACACACGTGTGTGACGGCCGGTCCCTGCACACAGTCGTGTATAGTCAGCCGCATGGCGGCCCCACCGGGTGTGAACGGCCCATCCCTGTACACAGTAGTGGATAGAGAGCCCCGTGGCAGCCCTGCCGGGTGTGGACGGCCCGTCCCTCCCCCATCCCATGTAGACAGCCCCCTGGCTGCACTGGGGGTGAGTGGTGCAGGTTCTGCATCGGGACGGGACGTAGGGGTTCCAGGGAGGCGGTGGGGGCTGCATCTGGACGTGGTTTGAGGGCTCCAGGTCAGTCTTTAAACCTCTGTGTATGTGTGCACTTCAGAATTTTGAGGCTGTGTTCCAAAA